GGGTTGTTGTTGAAAAAAGGCAAAAATCGTGGACGCGATTCGTGGACCAAATTGTTTTTTTTATCTGAAGGCCTGGCTTAGGGCGAGCACCATATAAATAATAGATCTGAGGTACATCCGGCCCTATATCACTTCTCGACAAATGCATTGCGATATAGCCTAAATATCAATACATGTAGCGTACAAATGTGTAGCCCAAATATACACATTGTGCGTGCGCGCGCGCGCGAGTGTGTGTGTAAAATATTTGTATGACAACCCATCCCTAAAAACTAAACCCAGAAAAGACCAAGGCTATTTTCTAATTCTAGCTTCCCAGATCACAACTTAACAAAGAGAAAGTTCCCAAAGGATTGGAAAGAAGGACACCTTGTGAAACTATATATATAAATAATACCTAGAAAGAGGATCTCAGCAACTGCAGCAACTACGGAGGAATCACTCTTCTCTCAATACCAGGAAAGGTCTTCAACAGAATAATTCTGGAGAGAATCAAGTCTGCAACGGATCCAAGGCTTCGGGATGAACAGGCTGGTTTTCGGAAAAATCAATCAATCTAGCATCTATGCGTTTATCGCGGCCGCGATTTTTGGCATTTTTCCAACAAAAAAACCACCGCCGGGAAGGAAAAATAATTTTTTTAGTTTTAGTTTTAGTAGAGGTTTTACGGCGCTCCCAATACCCAACTGCATAAGGTCATATGAGCGCCAGAAGATTAGAGGTGTTACAAGAGAGTAACAAACATAAAAAAGAAAAAGGGGAGTTAAGGACGATAGGTGTTTGATAGGAAAGAAGGAGCAAACCACACCAGAGCACCCGCCAACCACCCACAAAAATAATTTAAAATAATTTAAAAACAACAACAACAAAAATGGAGGATAACATTAGCGAAAAAAAAAATCGAACCTCTTTACTTTTAGAAAGAAAGTTTATTTTCACTTTCGCTTCACTTCGTCTCTTTCTCACTTGTTAACACCACGTTGATTTGTCATTTTCATGTGAAGAATATAAGTAGGCTACATTACATGACTATTTTGATGTTTCTTTTTCATGTTTCCTTCTTTGTTGTGTTTTTATTTGTTGGTGTATTAATTTTTTTCTTCTCGCTTTTGTTCTGATGTGTTGTTTTTTTTATTTTTTGTGTATATATGGTATAGGGTAATGCTCTTACTACCTTTTTTTTTCAATTTTTAAATGTGTTATGTTCGAGCGTGTCTCCACCAAAATCGTATACTGACACTGGCAGGCCTCTTGTGTGTGATTCCATAATTTACATGTCATATCCTGTCCTTTTTCTTGAATTACACAGGTTTAGGGTAAAAACGGCCAATCTAAGGATAGGTTGACACAAGCCCGGTCACGCCCTTATTTGCTTATTAAATTGTTTTGGTTGTTTATTAATTTGCACTTCTAGTTTTTATTTCATTCTGTTGTGAAACCTTTATTTTTCACGTTTTTTACACTCTGTGTGGCTACAAATGATATTCTGGGAGCTTAAAACAGAGCACAAGAAATTCTAGTGTTTTAGATTAAGTTACCCCTATCAACATACTACTGTATTATGTCGCCACGGAGAGCAGAAAGCTTGAAAATTAATGGCAACTTTTTGGCAACTTTTGCCATTTTCGCGGCAACTTTCGGACACAAAAAAATGGCAACAAACGTAGATGATAGGTCAACCACGGACCAGATTGCTACACTGAGAATCATAGCGGAACAGTCCCTGGAGTGGAACTCCCAGTTGATAATCAACTTTCTTGACTATGAGAAGGTCTTTGACAGCATAGACCGAGCAACACTGTGGAAGATATTGAGACATCATGGAATCCCATAGAAGTTGGTTTCCCTCATCGGGAGCATGTTTGAAGGGACAAGTTGTAGGGTCATACATGATGGCCATTCACTGACAGCTTTGACATCAAAACCGATGTGAGACAGGGATGTATACTATCACCTTTCCTCTTTATCTTGGCAATCGACTGGCTGATGAAGGAAACCACCAGAGGGCACAGAAACGGTATACAGTGGACCCCATGGACATAGTTGGACTATCTGGACTTTGCAGATGACTTGCCGCTTCTGTCAGACACTCAGGAACAGATGCAAGAAAAGACAACAATTTGAATTACGGCCTATCAGAGTCTGCTGGATTGAGGATCCACCCCGGAAAGTCGAAAGTCCTAAGGATAGATGCATTACGAAAGGAGCAGGTCACAGTACAAGGAAATGCACTAGAAGACGTCGAATCCTTCTGCTATCTGGGGAGTATAATTGACATAGAGGGATGAACAGGCGCTAAAATAAAGTCACGCATTGGAAAGGCACAGACTGCATTTATTTCTTTGAACAGTATTTGGAGGACCAGGGATATCTCATTACGAACAAAGCTTAGAATTTTCAACTCAAATGTGAAGTCAGTCTTGTAGTATAGATGTGAGACGTGGAACGCATCCCAGACGTGCATAAAGAGGATCCAGGTTTTCTTAAACAAGTGTCTGAGGAAGCTACTGAGAATCAAATGGACAGACAGGATCACCAACGAGGAAGTATTAGGAAGAACGATTCGAGACAGAGCCCAGTCAGAGATGAGGCGGGAAGAAGACGCTGGCAATGGATTGGACACACTTTCAGGAAGTCAAGCAGCTGCATAACAAGAAAAGTGTTATATTGGAACCCACAGGGTAAAAGATCAAGGACAAGACCACGTGGAACCTGGAGAAGAGTCACGGAAATGGATGTACAGAAAAGTGGGAAGAAGTGGACTGACATCAAGTATCAAGCGACTAGCCCAGGATACGGAAAGATGGATCAGAGTGTTTGTTCGTGGCCTATATCCTGATCCAGGGAGAGAAAGGCAATGATGATGACGATGGCTAGAGTCGAGTCGAAGTGCAAAATAAATACAAAATTGCAAACTCAGGTTGTAAATTAAAATAATAAAACTAGATTCTCACAACAACAAAAAAGAAAATCTAAAACACTGAGATTGTAACGACATACAACTTATCTATTATGGAGGACATTTCGATGGCAAAGTAAGCGTAAGCCTGTTTAATTCCAGCTTCTCAGATCACAAAGGCGTGGCAAGAGCCTAGTCTATATAAATGTACTTGTAACATTAGTTTCCCAGATTGTAAAACTTGCATAGTGATTGATTTAGGCATGAACGACTTTCCTCTTTAAACTCGTCCTTTGGACACACATTTTATAACTTTAGGGCGTAGCCTATACGTAGTCTAAAACAGTCATATGCACTGCTCACAGCCGAAAGCTAGATCTGTATCCCGGACTCTAGCATGGAGATCATCAGGAGAGAATGCGTCGCTGTATCGGGCTCTTCCTCTCTACAGTTTTTCTGATGTGTGGTCTCCATGCTAGTGACATAATTTTTTTGGCTCGAAATAATGAACTTGGGAAAAACCTTTAGGCCTAGCGACCGGAGATGGTTTTTACTACCGGAACCGGCACCACGAACGGAAGCAAAATGGCGACCTACTTGTAGTGAGACTGGAAAGCATCGAGAAGGCAACACTTCAACTTCATTTTAATATTAAACGTCCTTTGTTTGTAGTTCTACCTCAAATTCGGAAATATCATCACAGTCATTAGTCATACAAAGGTGACATATTGTCTACATCTATAGATCTACTGCTTGTTGATTGACAATGCTGAGGAGAGTTTTGAATCGCCGTGCAGTGCAAGACATTCTCATTTAAGACACATTTTTATTAAAGATAAGAACACAATAATGTTGGTTGCACCGTAGCAGACGCTTCGTTTTCAACAAACATTAGATCTAAATCTTAGGGCTCTTTGGAAATTGCCTTCCTGTTTGTTTACATAAGAAACAGAAGTGATTGCTAAGGACCAAGGACAAAGGCCACCTCTATTCTCACCCAGAGTGAGAATAGTGCAGGCGAGTCTTGTGGCTATTCTCACCCGGTGCGCGTTCACCAAATTTTGCGTTCACCCTAAACCACAGAATTATACACTGTGATAACAGAAAAATTGTAGAATTCTGTGCCGTGAACAAGCGCTCCATTACAACTGTAGCCTACTAAAAGCGTACAATTTTGTCTGTGGGCAGTGGAGAGAGAGAGGAGTAGCGCGAGAATTTCCGGGCAAAACAAAATGGCAACCCGCGTAGTTCGGCTCGATTCGAAAAGTTAAATAGCCGTAGCATCTTTGTAGACAACCAAATTTATTTACTTTTGTGTTTTAACATCATTTTTTAACTTTGTTTTGGTCAATTTGATCGTCCACACCGATAGACAGTATTCAGAAAGAGACAGAGAGAGAGAGAAGAGGAGAGGAGTTGATCTTGCGAGAACTTCCGGGCGGGTGAGAATAGCCACTTTCAAGGACAAAAGTGGCCACATGAGTAGATCATTTGTTTGTAGTAACATGATAGTATTGATGATAGGCTCTAAGTCTTGTGAACCCTACTATCACATTAGTAGCCTGTAGGCTAATATTTTTCTGCCTTTTTTGTATAAAAAAATTATTTTGGCCGGATTGAACTTTGGTGGACCCATCGTGTTTACGTGTGTGTATTAATTCGCACTAGGCACTAGCCTTAACAGCGGGGGGTTTCGGGGGGGGGGGGGGGGGGGGGGGGGGGGTTTGAAAAGGGTTTGCCCCCCTGTTTGCCCCTGGCAAAAATATTAATAATTTAAAAAACCCACCATCATCACGCTTACATGGCAAATTATCAATTGGAACAGGAAGGTAGATATTTTAATTTCCAAAGCGAAGTGTATACAGACCCGGTAACCGGGAAGGCCGTCGTTATTCGGACTCGAGTCCGAATAACATTTTTTCATATTCGGACTCGAGTCCAAATTTTAAAAATTCTTATTTGGACTCGAGGCCGAATATGAAAAAAATGTTATTCAGACTCGGGTTCGGAAAAAAGGAAGTGTCTTCGTAGATCTAACGTTCAGGGCTTCCCATTTTCCGCCATTTTTTAGTTTCCCCCACACCTTTTCTGCCGATCCGACGCCCGCCGCCTCATTGATACGCCCCCCCCACACCCCCCATGTTTTCCGCTTTCTTTGTTGTAGAAAAAGGTAAAATTTAAGATTAGCAGACCACCTGGCACCTGCATATGAGCTGTGTAAAAAAAAAGACTGATTCGTTCAAATACACAAGCCTGTTTCATCTCGATTGTTTACCAAGAAAAAGTTGTGTTGCTGTGTAGAGCCTAGCATACGGCAACTTTTGATTCCATAGACCAGCGCACAATTCATTTCGTAGATCTACGCTTATTATTGTAATAATGATCAGTTGCCGGGGGGAAAAAGACTGATGCGTATACGACGTTTAACGCTCGGACCGATAGTGCCCCTCCCCCCCACCCCCCTCCCCGACACGCACACAGCCACACGTGTGCAGGCGGCCCATCCGACCCCGACACACGCTAACGAGCCATCTTTAATTGCTTCTGATGACCTCTGGACAAATAAACATTTATTAAAAGCGCTATAACTTTTCAGGCCGGCCTCAAATTCATCATAAGATAAAAACTCGGATTCTGCACAAAACACCATTTTGCCCGAAGCGATCCCGGTCTCTACCCAGCCTGAGGCGAGTCACGAGTGAGGCAGGACAGGAAGCCGGAGTCACGAGTCACAGGGAGTCGGAAGTCGGAAGTGATGTCATGCTGGACAAAAATCAGAGTCCGAATAACATTTTTTCATATTCGGACTCGAGTCCGAATAGTCACTTTGAACCGGGAACAGTCACGAAGTATACAGACCCGGTAAGGGAACTCTTTTGTGATTTCGGAAAGTTTCAGCACCCAGACCCAGTAGTGTCACGTGTGTATGTGTGTGTGTGTGTATGTGAGAGAGAGAGAGCAGGGGGAAGTGCTAGCGAAAGCTATGACATGCCCCAGTTGGCAGGAGGGAACGAGGGAAAGATATAGTGGGAAATAGGGGAGAAAGAAAGACAGAGACAAACAAAGAAAAAGAGAATGGGAGCGACAGAGAGAGAGAGAGAGAAATGGAGAGGATGACTGCTCGAGAGAAATTACGACATTGTTCTTTTCTTCAAATTGTGATTCCTCCAACTCCAAAACGGAGGAAAAACGATCGTTCATCGAAAAGATATCCGCAATCTTCATTTAGATCTAGATCTAGGCTAGCCTCGAAACTAGATCAATGATTAATGTCTGTCTGTCTAGATCTAGACCTAGCCTAGGCCATAGATCAAGAAGAACCTAGGTCTACCCTGAGCCAAGAGGGCGCTGAAACTTTCCGAAATCACAAAAGAGTTCCTCTACCATGTACCGGGTCTGTATACTTTATGACTTTGTTGTTCCCTGTTACCGGGTCTGTATACACTCCCTTTCCAAAGAGCACCAAAATCTTTCTCCGAGGGGGGTAAACCCACTGACATGCCGTTAAACGTAGAAGACGCATCTTTCTGATGGGCAGCTAATTTTAGTACTGTGATGTCATCACTTCCTGGAATACCCACATGGAACGATGTGTTTTCTGTAACATTTCAGATTTCCTAGATCTTGGACATCTTGGACTTTTTAATTTGGTGTGCATATATATGGTGTTTGAGTCTGTTGTGGCCACAACGGAGTCTAAAGATTGTGACCTGGTCTGCTCTATTTAGTATTAGTAGTCTGTTGTGCTTAGGGTGGGACCTTTTCCATCTGTTTCTTAAAGCAGTTTTTATTAGTGTTTTTGACTCTGAGAGATCCATGCCATCTTCAATCTGGGCGCCTTACCTAAAAATAGTTTGCGTCTTTCTATGTTTAATCGCATTTTAATCGCATGCAACCCACAGTGCCTGAGTGAGCCCTCTTTTGACAGGCCCTGCGTACAAAATTCAAAATTGACATTATATATATATATATATATATATATATATATATATACACTCTATGATACTAGATTGATACACACCACATCACTCAACCGGGCAACATGATATGCAGAATATAAAGATCTAGTATTCTAATCATATACTGAATTCCAATGAGAAATCAGAGACTTGTAGATGTAGATATCTATGTTTTACTTACATTATGTTATTAAAATCCAGATATTATCACTAGTTTTAGACTGGTAAAATTACGATATTTTGGTGAGAAAAGTTTCTCATTTTTGGCCAAAAAATCTAGAACACCTTGCCTCAGGATCTCAGAGAAAATACAAATTTTGATACCTTTAAGCAATTGCTCAAGACTCATTTGTTTAAATTTCTTAGTTTTAGTGTGTTAGTAAGTGCTGATTTTTACATTTTAGTTTCAAAATTTTTTTGGGCCGGCTTTTTCTCCGAAGGCTCTGGAAAATGAACTTCAACTCAATTTGTTGAACGGTTTCCGTTCTCAAGATACTTTTGCTACTTGCAAATGGACTGGCTTGCGCGTGTGTGTGTGTGTTGAGGGGGGTTTGTGATTTAGTACTTTAGAGGTGACTAAATGCAAAATATGTTACTGCCAAAGTCGAGCAGTCTTGTTTTCTCGTAGTACCTTTTGAAGGCATTTTCAAATGAAGTATAGTCCGGGAACGTTGCCCCAACCACAATTGAAGTACAGTAGTCTCCGCCTAAGATCCCACCGCTTACGGTCCCGGTTCGCTTAAGATCCCGCTGTTTTAAGAAAACAGAATTTTTACTATTCAAAAGTCACCCCCAAGATCCCGCTCTGATTCACTCTGAAGGTCTACCTTCGGCTAAGATCCCGCACTTCAGATCATAATTTGTGGAACAAAAAACCCGGACGGGACAGCCGATCAACCAAGAGTGAAAAGTTGAGATCAATAAACCGTCTGTCGTGTCAAAGATCAGCCACTATCGTGAATGTGATCACATACACGTAAAACTCGATGAAGCGATAAATGTTTGCCCCAGACGGGATCACACCGGGGTGTGAACTGAATGACACGTTTTTTTTCCCCGAACATCGCACTCACACCTGAGCTCTCCCCCTAAACTTACATCACTCGCTGGGTGGGTAGGGCCTACACGTTCGCTCCAGATGGGATCACATTGAAATGTGAACTCTTCCCTGACCATTGCAGAAGTTGTCTCTACTCCCGAATTTGTGAGACAGACTGAATTTTAATTGGTGTGTTCACAATGTAATGGTGTGTAACGACAAAGGCGGTTTGGGGGGGGGGGGCTCAGTTAGAGATGGAAAGCTCTAAATTTTCGACAGGTTAGGGGGAGGGGCAACAGGATAAACGTAGATCTTGAGACTCATGATAGGATAATAAGTGAAAATGGCGCGCCTCATCCCTTTATGCACAGTGATAGGCCATCAAGGTTAACCACCCTTTGCTCGCCATACGCCATAAACCCATCAAGCGGTCACGTCAGCTCATTTTAGAGTAGAGGGAGACCATTTTATCGATTGTGAGCCTTAGCATGGGTCACCTTAGATTCTTCCCTGGGTTCGTTGGTTAAGATCCCGGTTCGCCTAAGATCCCGCATTTCCTTGCTCCCAAGCACCGGGATATCAGGCAGAGACTACTGTATCTTGAATATTCAGACATCTAAAAATCTCTAGCTCTAGAAATTGAATTCAATGGGAAAAATGCTTTGCCCAGTCCTCGCAGAATGGCAGAAATAAAGGTGGCGCAGAGTGTTCTGAGAAATATAGGTCAACTTTATTTTCCCCGAGCGTTCGGCAAAATAATCACTTTGGTTTTTTTTAGACCTTTCGTGTATAGTTAATGTATGGTTGTGAAAGTTCTTCTTTATGTGGTTGAACTGGTTTTTCTTCTTTCTATGAAATATTTTTTCTTGTGTGAATGGTTATGTGATTTGTGTAAAAAGCGCTCAGAGCTTACTAGTATGGGATAGATTGCTAAAATAAATGCAATCTATTATTGTATTATTATTAAATTATTATTATTATTACTTTTTTGTGCCTTTAATCAACATTTTTCTGTAAAATCCACCCAGAAATGTGTTCTTAATTGGACAACAATGGTGTTAAACCAAATAAGAAAAATTTGGTAAAAATTGTCAAACTGGAAGAAAAAATTTTTATGTCAGTTTCTTCAATTTCCTTACTTTGACGAGCGCCTGATTTCACCACACTGCCTCACATATATTCTATGTGCAAAAAAAAGTACCAAAAGAGGCTACTTTTTAAGACTGAAATAAAATCGAAACGAGATATTTATTAACCTATTTTCAAAATTCAAAAGGTATTGTAATCTGCACACCAGTGTCTATCACATTATAAACCAGTCAGCACAGCAGAATAATGTTATTGAAAAAATCATCTGACTTTGCTAATGAGGCATCATGGTGAAATGAGGCGCTCGTCAAAGTAATGAAATCAAAGAAATCGTCATTTTTTGGGGCTGATGGGCAATTTTTTTCTTGTATACTTTTTTTGGCTCTACACCTTTTATATCCATTTATAAATCCTTTTTTGTGTGGATTCCAATGACCCCATATACCAAAAAAATTGAAGAGCGTGTGATTCCACCAAGTTGTGACAAATATATAACTTTGATCTTAAAATCTTAAAAGAATCAAGTGTTGTTTTCCGATCACCCCTTCTATAACTTAAAAAAGTCATATTGAGGGAAAACCCGCAATGGATGCATTGGTGACCTATTTAGTTTTAGGCAGCCATTCATAGGACGCTAAGCAATCATGTTCGCTTGTCGGCAGGCTAGCTTGTTCTTTTATCGCTGGATGGGTGGCAATTTTAACCCCTTCGTGACCTGTATGAAGTACGCTGTTCGTTATTTTTTCTTATACGGCAAAATGCGAGGACCATGATGACGAACGCTGTTTGTCATAGGTTGTATTTTGCATACTGCTTCTGTTAGATGAATTTTGTAAAACTAATCGCAGATTCACCTTCAGCTATATTTTTTCTGAATGAAAAAATATTTCCCATTTAGAGAGAGGTGGTACAGTAATCTCTGCATAAGATCCCAGTACTCGGGAGCAAGGAAAATGCGGGATCTTAGGCAAACCGGGATCTTACCCGAATGACCAGGGGGGAAGAATCCACAGTAACTCATGGTTAGGCCCATATGTACAATGATCTTCCCTTTCCCTTAAAATGAACAGACGTGACCCCTATGGGCACTAAAAGTTCTTTTCAGCACCCCTTGGCACTCATATGACCTTATGCAGTTGCGAGTGCCGTAAAACCCACTACTTAAAAAGCCACAAAAAAACCCTGAAAGACGAGAGCGATGGTCGGGAGAACATAAGCGTCCACGAGTTCACAGTTTGATGGAATGCAGTCTGACCGAGACGTACTGTCAGCTCGTCTTGAGTCTGACGCTTGCTTGTAGGCCCTCCCCACCTTGTGTGTGATGTAATATCAGGCGGACGGCTCAGGTGATCGGGGAAAGCAAGGCATTGACGAGTTCACACCTTGATGTTATCCCATCTAGGGTAAACATTGTAACTGCTTATCAACATTTACAACAGAGGTGTGATCGCATACATGAAAGTGAATGATCCGTGATGCGATGGACCGTACAATGATCGCACATTTTCGCTACTTGGTTGATCAGCTGAGCGTGCCCAGGTTTTTCTTCTTTTTTTTCTTAAATAAAGGGGAAAAAACCTAAATTATGACCTGAAAAGCGGGATCATAGCCGAATGCAGCTCCTTCAGTGCGTGAGCTTAGGGGTGACTTTTATATAGTAAAAATTCTGTTTTTCCTAAACAGCGGAATCTTAGGCGAACCGGGACCATAAGCGGTGGGATCTTAGGCGGAGACTTCTGTACAGTCGAACCTGCCCTGACGGCCACCTCTATAAGACGGCCACCTGTACAAACGGCCACTTTCCATTTCCCCCCTTGCGTTTTTTCTATATATTTTAACTGTAAAACGGGCACCTGTCCAACGCGGCCACCATATTTTAACACACAACCCCTATCACACTAAGCAATAACACCTGTCTTAGACGGTCACCTTAGTGACTCCGTTACGTTTTGTCATTAATTGTGCATTGACCCCTGCCGTTGTGGGCTAGCCATCATAAATCAATCACCTGTCGTTGTTGTTAGGTAGTCCCTCCTACCGATCATGTTGCGTAGGCCCCTCCCACTGTTGACCAATAGGTACCAATTTCCAGCTGCTGCTGATGGAAGCGTGTGATCCTTCATAACCCATAAGCCCGCCCAGAACTCATACACAAATCATAAGTGAGATGAGTGGTCACTGTTTACCCAGTCTGTAACAAAGTAACAATGGATGTCAACATGGACTTGTGATAGAAACGTCGCTCGTTCTCCAAGTGGTGGCGACCCATATGTTTGTTTTACCATAGCACTCGAGGTCCTCCTTGTCTGACACATTTCGTTTTATTGTCACCCTTGCACAAAATCAGCAACAAAATAAAAATAACAAACAAAATACAAACCAACAACAACAACAAAAGCAACAATAGAATGCGGCTACTTTCGATTGGGAATGGGGTTTGTTTTCTTCATCTTGATCAGTCCTGCCTAAGACGGCCACCTGTCTTAAACGGCCACTTTTCTCCTTGACAATGGGTGGCCGTCTTACACAGGTTTGACTGTATTTACATTCCACTAAAGCCTGTGGTATTCTTTGTCCCTGAGGATCCAAAACTGTTGCTTCTGAAGCCCAAGCTGACCTTGTCTCACAAAGGGGTTAAGTTAGCACGTAAACTAAAATGTACCATACTATACACAGGGTCTGAAATTTTACAGCAAGAAAAATGTCGGAGACCTGTCTGCAGCTCCTCTTAGTTTTTGAAAAATGGAAGAAAATTGCACAAACACGACAATTTTATTTGTCCATTTCTAGAAATCTGCCGGCATTGTACACTCGCATGTAGTAAGTTTGCCAAGTTTCATTTTCGTCCGAGGGTTTTTCCGTAACTATACTTAGATGAGAACCATCTCTGATCCTGAACGGTCCAAAAATTACCCCAAGTGCGCAGCCCAATTTCCGGCCCAAAACGCAGCTGGCAATTGGCATTGCGATAGCAAGTCTAGCAAGTCTAGTCTAGACACGCAAGTAGTCACTAGGCACACTAACTTTTGACCAGAAGAGAGACAAGACTAAAGACTTCAGAATGAACACACCCTTGTTATTAGCCTTAGAGTTTGATCTAGGCCTAATTCAATTTTCATTTTGACATGTTTGCAGTTTCCTACATGAAATTAGCCTAGTGTTTCCTTGGCGTACCCTCATTTTGTTTGAGTTTGATGATCATTTTCATTTTTATTTTATGATTTGAAAGATTAATAAGTGTAAGATGGGTTAGGTTTAAATTTGGGATTATTATCGGGGTTTTTTTAGTAGCCTATTGTATTTATATATATGGAAATGTACCTAGTAGACCTATTGTCTGATGGTTTTGGGGTTGGTTTGTATCCCCCTGTCATTCTCCTACTTGGCTTACTCGTACTGTTGTCACACCAGAAAACCATGGTTATGAGGAAATCTTGCTTTTTATGCCAGTAGAGGCCTATACTCTACTATACCTGTCTACCCATTACATTGCTCATTTGGTGACTGGTCAATCAATGGCGATGCCAGTGCGCTCTCAAAAATCATATCAAACTGGCCTCTCCTTTGTTTCACTTTTTAATAAGTCTAATCTCATAATTTTATACTCATTTGCTGTTTGTTTCGGCAGATCACCAGTATGCCTGTGGAACTGAAAAAAATTGACCAACAGAGACGGCCTTTGTCTACTGATGACACTGGAATTTTAGTTCAGACCAAGCCACGCATTTATGTGAAAAATGCTGCAACTGATGTCATCGCATGGCTCCGAAGTTTTACAGATGAATATTGGAAATCAAGGGTATTTATAAAATGCTTTGGAATACATGTTTAGATATATTCAAATCCCTAACATTCTCTTTCTTGCCGCAGGAAATGTCTAATGACATTTTTTATCTCCGTCAAGACAGCTGCTTTGACGTGCACCAAGTACACATGAACAAGACAGTCTCCCCCATAAGTGGGTCAGCAATGTAATGGGCCGAGTTAAGAGAAAGATTGTAGGGGAGGGGAGGGGCGGTGAGGGAGACCTTGGGTATTTTGTATTTGTGCATGCACATATGTCACAGTATGTGTGTATGTGTTTGACAGTTTATGTGTGCATGCGTGAAAGAGAGAGAGAGAGAGCTTCCTGTTGTAGTAGATGGCTTTCTTAGAAGGCACCACTAGCTCTAAATTGAGAGCACTCTTAATAGGGGGTGCTCACATACGCGATTGGGTGGGGTCGGGTCGGGCCCATCTGGTAGTCAGGGCTAGCGAAATTGAGGGCGCAACGCGGCCATCGTGGCACAAACCGATCGAAACGATCGGTGACCTACAAAAACAAACGCGTTTGTTTTCTGGCCTGCGAATGGCGCGATCGGGTGGTTTGCAGGCAATCACAACAAGTCTGAGTCACGTGTCCATTTTAATCCATGAATACCTTGAGAGACACTAAAGGACTAAGAAAGCCTCGATTCGACTCATTTTGGAAGGAAATTGCATCTTTAAGTACATTTTTGTATCTTCATTGCACTTTACATGATCAATAAAGTTGTATCTCATTATAATAATATTGTACAATAACAGATTTGTGCTGAAAAACAGCCCCCCAAAAAATGAAATTAAGGCACTTGATCTAGATCTAGATTATTTCGTTCTCGGGAGAGCTAAAAATAGACCATGTTTAGACCTTGCTAAGGACGTGTCTAGATCTACGTTCTCTAATGTTTAGTGCTTCCAATTTTCCACCAATTTTTAGTTTTCTCCAGACCTTATTCTCGATTTATTATGTCGCTTTGCCTTTCCTGAAACAGTGCTGTAAATAAGAAGCTCAATCTACCCTTCTCTGATGAAAGTTCTGATGGCCGAGTGAACAGTATGTTTGCGTTTGAATGCAAATATTATTTTGTGAGCATGGGTTTGAATCCCAGTCCCAGCTTTTTTTTTCTCTTTTTTTTCTCCTTCTTCTCATCCTCCCAACTTACCAACAATTTTTCCCATAATTATAATTTGTTGCTTTTTTTTTTTTTTTTTGTGGTAAATAAATCGCCAGTGCTGTCTGTTGTTCTCGTAATCATAACACACTGGGCTAAAAATAGGTTTAGCTGGTCTGATGTCGGTGGACGCGGATCTTTTTGGGTCGCTTCTGCACCATGCAAAAATTTCGTACATTAGCCTGGCCTGGAAGATCTTATTTTGGTGGACGCATAGACTAAAGCAAGTTAGCAAGCAAGCAAGCAAGCAAGCAAGCAAGCATTCACGAACACACACACACACACACACACACACACTCACACTCACACACAGTCCAAGAGTACGGTAGGCATATTTTATATATTCATGGGTCAAAGGTCCAGCCAATCGTAGCCCGGGTTTACGCCCTCTGTGTAGTCGCATGTAGGTTAAAGGTTTCTCTACTTTAACTTCCGGGTCGTCGAGTACAATCGCAGCGGGGCTGTAGTGTGCACTGAAACCCCGACCCGATAGGCCCGACCAGACCCGACCCGACCCGAACGCGTATGTGGGCACCCCCTTTATCAGATAAATGCCAAAAGTCGACGTGCAAGGACCCGTCTAGGTGACTGACAATGGTCTTGGACTAGAGTAGTCCTGCACTCATTCAATCTCTAACAGCTGATGGTAGAATTATAATTCAATTTTTTGTAGAGTTTTAACAAGAACAGGTCAGCACTCATGATGAAACCACTAGCAGACAAATTTTACAACAAAACTCTATTTTTTAAAAACAAACTAAAATCTTGAAAGAAAAAAAACTTAAACAGTCTGTGCCCTTTGAATACCTATTGGGTAGGCATCTAAACTTTAAGACTTTACCTTACATTTTAATGATAATATGCCAATACTAAGCTTGTAACATGAACAATGTGCACAAGGCTATCATGTTGTGACTACACTGTAAGACATTATAAACTTCAGAAATACTACAAATTCACTACTTACAACAAAAAAATCGGGGGCTGTCATGACCTAGAGGTTAAGGTGTTCACCTCTCATTGAAAGGTCCCGATTTCGAATTCGGATAGCGAAGGAACTTTTTCTTTTCTAAGTTGTCTCCTTTCACCTCCTTTCCTGCTCTCAAGCAATGTTCTGTCGTCTGTTTTCGTCTCCTTTCTGCCCCCACCCTCTTACCTACTTTGACCCTCCCACCCCCTCTGGGCTCCTGAGTCTTTTACTTTTTGCAGCATTTTCTAATGCAACTCCATGGGTCTTTCTTACTGCTGTCTTTCAGCCACACCTCTGATCTTCTGGTAGGAAAGATCTACACCTAGCCTTCTCGGACAAGGGCAAAAAATCTCGGAGGTCCCGTGTGCAAGTTGTGCATGTTAAAGATCCCATGGTCACCATGGTGGTCTGAAATCAATAAGAGTAGGCTTCGGCCGCCACCCGTGCAAAATTCAAAATTTCCTACCAACTGAAAATATTTGTGTGTCCGGCACGCTCATAAGACCTTATGCAGTTGTGAGCGCCGTAAAACACTTACTAAAAAAAACAAACAAAAAAAACATTTAAAAATCTAGAGAACATCAGTTGAACTGCTTAAATCTATCTAGGTCCAAGCAATCAAAGCACACTGTATATTCGTTTCTTGAATAGATTTAAATCATTCTGAATCCTTAAATACAGAAAATCTTGGATCCTTTGGTGACTGTATTATGAAAGCTGAACATGTTTGTATGCTTCACGGGAAGCTGAGAATGTTTCGGAGAGTTCTATGGTCTGCTGGGGTAATAATATAGTGTAAAGCGCATAGAGCCTGCTGTTGAGCGGGGATATGCGCTATACAAATGCTATCTATTATTATTATTATTATTGTAAATTTGGCTTTTAAATTTCCTTCTAAATGTTCAAAATTGATTTTGAATGATTCTATTTACTTGTATCTTGTGCCCATTGTTCTAACTTCATCTAATCTAAGTTTTGTATTGTAATGCACCGATTCCAATTTGTGTAATATCGATACAAGCAATGAGAGAGGCTAAGCTTGCAGGCAGGCCCATTGATGCCTTGTATACACACTCAGCCCATTACTTTGCTTGCTAAGCTGCTCACGGGGTTAATGTCCTGGTCATATGCTCTCTATGATTTACACAGATGTAGGTATTTCTCTCTCTCTCTCTCTCTCTCTCTCTCTCTCTCTCTCTCTCTCTCTCTCT